CGGGGCTCGCCTGCCAGTTCGAACAAGAATATATTCTGGACAGATATTATATTATGCGTTGTACAGACAAGCTTGACGCTGCCGCATACTGTACAAGGCACTGCAGGGGCGAGGCTACACAGGGTCTGGAGCAGAACTGGCTGCAGAAAGAGTGAAGCTGTGCACAACGACGCTTCTGACCATGGTCTTCGCAACTCCTTGCTTGTTTCGTCCTCAGTGGTCTGCATCGGTTCTCGTTGTCTTGAATTAGATTGCATCGAATTATAGAAAGCTACAAGAAAAAACTACCTGCTGCTAAAAAACTATGGCCTTGCAAGATGCATGCCTGCATGCGATGATTCATGCTACCTGGGCGGAGGATCACGTGAAACCTCCTACTTCGGCGACGGCTCAGCTGCCCTTGTTGACCCTGCGTCTCTTTAGGGCAGGCGGGTTCTCTGCCTCCGTCGCTGCCGGCTTCGCTTCCTTCGCGGCCTTTTTCAACCTGTTCTTCTCCTTCTGGGCCTGCTTGCAGTCCCCCAGCACGTCCTGTACTTCCTTGCTCAAGGTCTTCAGGTCGCTCTTGGAAAAGGCAAGGGGGACGACCTCCTCGGTGTCCTTCTTCGCGAGGACCTGCTCGGCCGAAAGCTTCCACTGGCCCAGCTTGCACTTCAGGTCCTTCAGCTTGGCGAGCAGCGCCGGGTCGGTCTCCTTCCCTTCCCAGGTGCTGACGGAGCACCACAGCGAGGTTAGCCACAGCTTGCTTCTTCGCCTTCACCGCCGCTTTCTTGGCGGCTGTCTCCGCTTTTGCTGTCTGACTCTCCTTCGTGGTGTGCGACGGTAGGTCCCAGTCTTTAGTGGTCGGGTCCCCCTTCTTCTTGCGAACGTCCTTCACCCTCTTGTTGATCTCCTCCTGAATCGACTCCTTGATCTCGCCGGTGCTGCGAGACTGAATCGGGATTCTGATAGTCTCGCCGAGGTGGGGATGCTCGCGGCGATCATCGCAATGGTCGATGTGCTCTTGGGTAAAGCCCTTCGCCAAGTACACCGTAGCCGGCAAGTACTCACCTTTCTCACACTCCTTCTGGAAGCGAACGGCACGGGACGTGAGGACGTCCGTGAGACGAGCTTCGAGCGTCGGCCAGTCTTTGTACTCGCCTGAGCCCTTGTAGAACTCCGCCTTCTCTGCCGCGGTGGTATTCTTCCATGGCTCGAAGGACCCCAGCCTGAGCTGCCGCCACAACTTCATCTCCAGAGCGGCACAGGTCTTGCACTTCTTGCTTGTCCACCGCCAGGTCAGGTCCTGGGCCGCGAAGGTCTTCTGGCAGAGTACACAAGCTTGCGGCTCTGCCGTGTCCTGCAACGGCTGGGTCTGGCTTTCGAGGCTTTCGACTTGAGCGTCCTCGAAGGCGGCAACCATGGCTGCGGTCTGGCCAAGCTAGGAGGAGAGGGGCAAACTAGAAGCTGAAAGTAGGTAGCTGCGGAGGCCAAGAAATCCCAGTCTGCAGCTCTACTTCTGCTTCCTAAATCCACAAAGAAACAGACAGCAGCGATTCCAGAAAAGCTCCTGCCAGCAGCTTCGCCGCAGAGTACCACCTACAGACCTACAATCACCTACGCCAGGCCCCCATGTTGAAGGCCTAAGCCAGGGTCGCCACCTACACCACCTACGCCTGGCCCGACCTGAGAAGTAAGGAAAAGCAGGCCACCTACACCACCTACGCCTCCAGATCCATGGAAAGGTAAGGAAATAAGACCACCTACGCCACCTACGCCACCTGCCTAGCCAGGTGGCCCAGAGTGACCACCTACAAACACCTACGATCACCTACGCCTCCGGCCGGACGTTTTGCAAGGCCAAGATCAGCAGAAGGAGTCTCTCCGGAGAGCTAGCAGGAGCACTAACTCTTCTCCTCCATTTCGAGGCCTTCAAGCAGTCTATAGTCTCTGTTGTGCACGATTTCCAGCAGCATCATCGTGATCTGAAGCTGCTCCGTAGCAGCTTCGAAGTAGCTCTCCCACTCTCGGTTCAAGTTGGAACCGAAATAAGCGGGGATAATTCTCAGAGCATGTCGCAACTCGCGAACCTGCCGGTCGACTCGGCTGTGGCTCCACTCTGCCGTGAGCGCCCTGACCCGCTCCTGCTCTGTGAGCCGCGGATACTCAGGCTCTGCCGGCACATAGCTGTATCCGTTGTACATTTGGCCATGATCCGCTCCGGTTTCCTTAAGAAGGTCCTCCCACTGGAATCTTAAGAGACACAGTGCTGCTATGACGCGAGCGGACTTGTCGCGATTCTCATCAGCACTCTTCATCGCCCAGTAGAGTGCTTCTCGCACCGCCTCCGCCTCAAAGTCCAGCCAATCCACAGGAGGGGGAAGCGAACTCTGCAGCAGAGACTGCTGCAGTGCACAAAGCTCACCGCGAGAAAACCATTGCTTCGCCATCTCTGGCGAGCCCAACCTGTGCCACACGGGTGGGGATTCTGCGGCTTTCGCGATGTATATGTATATATATATATAGAGAGAGAGAGAGAGAGAGAGAGAGAGAGAGAGAGAGTTATACATGTCTGTATATATATATATATATATATATATATATAGTGTCTATATATATATATATATGGCCTTGCCGATGCCGAGGCCCAAGGTCTGCTGCTGCTTCCCAAAATGGACTCTAGAGGGCACTGTCTTGAAACATCACGGCTACACCAAGCTGCTTGCACATGTATAGTTACAGAATCCCTGTCGAAAAACAGCTCCACCCTTTTCTTCTCCGAGTTCCAGCTCGCAGTGCTCCGCTTCGCCGTCTGGCCACTCTACGACTTAAGACTGGGCTTCGACAGATCCGGGCGAGAGTTTTACGAGCACTCAGCTTTAGAATAAACCCTAAAGCACTCAACCATGGGGCTTCCTATATTATCTTATCTTTATTTCTTCATGCCGGGTCAAGGGTTTGTACTGGGGCCGAGGGCTTCCGGGGTTGAGGATAAATTTTATAGCTTTCATATTTTGGATTCTATATAGGGTTGAGTGTTTCCGGGGGTGCTTCCTGTTTGGCTTAGCAGATCCTCCTGTCGAGGCCCTGCGAAGTCAGCTACGACATGGAGTCACCCTGCATCTGAATTTTTCCTTGGGTTTAGGGTGTTTCAGGTTTAGGGTTTATGTTACGGCTCTTTCAGGCGATTGCAGATGCAGGGCTTCGCAGGGAGCTACAGGCCGGCTCGGCTACTCTACAGCAGCCCTGAGCTACAACCCAACCTAGCAAGACTAGGCGGGGAGCTCATGGGGCTGCAGGGTGCTTGCTCCGGAGCGCTGCCTCACAGCACAGCTCGGAGTGTCGACTCCCAGAGGCTGGTCAGCACCGCCGCCTTGTCCAATCCGCCACCGCCCAGGAGCTGGTCCCGCAAGGCTTCAGCCTTGGCCTCGTTCCTTGCTCGGGCCTCACTTGAGGGAGGGAGAACGGGCTCCGGCACTCCTGCTGCTGCCTTTGCCGTCGCCGCTTTTGCCGTCGCCGCTGCTGCCGCCGCGGCCTCCGCTGCACGTCGTGCGGTCTCCTCCGCCTGGTGCTTCTCCGCTGCTTCTCGCATGGCGTGAACTCTTTCAGCTCTCTCGGGCTGCGACGTCTGCGACGGGGCTTGGGTCGACGGTCCGGGCTGCTTGAGCGGGACCGGTGGCGGCCTCGCTCCTCGTCGTTCTTCTTTCCACTTCGTCGGCCCATGACCTGCCAGGACATATATCTATATAGTATTTAAAATTTAAAATTCTTATATTTCTCTACATGAAAAATTATATATGTATATATATATATATATATATATATCTCTCTCTCTCTCTCTCCTTTTGCACGGTGACCGTAGCCACACGGTGCATGACTGCACACGGTGACCGGAGCCACACGTCTGCATCCCATCTCTGCAGAGGTGACCGGAGCCACACCTCTGCCATCTCTGCAGACGGTGACCGGAGCCACACATCTGCATCCCGTCTCCGAAGACGGTGACCGGAGCCACACGTCTCTCAGGCCAGACGGCGACCGAAGCCGCACATCTGCCGTCATTCGAGTGCAAACGGTGACCGAAGCCACACGTCTGCCTTCTATAGCAGATGGCGACCGAAGCCGCACATCTCCATATATATATATATATATATATATATATATATATTATATATATTATATATTATATATTATATATATATATATATATTATATTATATTATATTATATTATATTATATTATATTATATTATATATATTATAATATATTATATTATATTATATTATATTATATTATATTATATTATATTATATTATATTATATTATATTATCATTATACTCTCTCTCTCTCTCTCTCTGGTCTTTGTCGCTCCCGCCCGCCTTCAAGTGGGAGGCACCCTTGTCAACCTGCAGGCACACATGCAGCCACTCTTAAACCCCAAACCCGAAAGGAAACCCCAGTCTCGCCTTCACGGCAGGGGCCCTTCTGCAGCCCGGAAAGCCTGCCCCTCTTGAGCCTCGCGGCTATATATACAAAAACTTAAGAACATCTGCAAACATGCAGCAGGACAGGCTGGCTCATGCCGACGTGTTTGTGCAAACACTTGTTGCGGGCCACTGCAAAACTCCGGGTGTGAGCGCTACTATCCTACGCCTACCGAGGTTCGGGAAGATCGTTGCCATGCATGATCCCTCGGCTATATATATATATATATATATATATATATATGGAAGACCGAGTGCAGCCGGGAATATTGCATGCTTGCCGTGACCGCTGCCCCGCTCACGCCCGGAAACACGAGGGAGTGCATCCGGCAATCCACCGGCAACGGCCGCAGCCGTTGGGCCGGGCAAGTAGCCTTCCTCCATCGTGTATCCCGCAATTTCCTTCCGCTTCTGTCCCGCAGAGGCTGTCAGCTCCGCAGGGGCTGCCGCAGGCTTGCGAAGCACCGCGGGTGCTGCTGAGGGCTTCCCAAGCACCGCAGGGGCTGCTGAGGGTTTCCGAAGCACTGCAGGCTTACACTTAGGACGCGGATGGACGCGGCACTGCCTTTGCTTCTGGCTCTGACAGTGGAGCCGGCACTAGCATTAACTGTGCTGCTGCCGGTCTCTGCCTTACTGCTGCCGCAGGCTTCCGTTTCACGGTACTCTCCGCACTGGCTGGCGGCTCCTGCTTCCGTTTGCCTGCTAGTGCCCTGAGTTCTGCAGCGACACTCGGGCCTTCGCTGCACTCAGACTTCTGTTCTATCTTCACGTCCTCCAACGCAAGAAGCTGGGCTGGCGGCTGATCTTCCAGCGGGAGACAGCTGGGCATAGCATCTCCACTTGCCTTGGCATCTCCACTTGCCTTTGCACCTCCACTTGCCTCCGCCGGCTTGATATCGTCCAGCTTCCCAGCCACAGCATCCATAACGGCACTAGCCGAAGAGGCGAAGCGATGCAAGCTCTGCTCTGGCTGCTCCACCACTATCTCGCTGTTCGATGGGTATCGCCGCTTCTTGTACTGCGACGTGAGGGCATTCAGCTTCTCCAGATCTACTTTGGGCTTCGCCGCCGGCTTGTTGCTGAAGATCCGAGCACTGAGTGCTGCCGGGAGATCTTGCATCTCCGCCGGAAGGCTCGGCAGCCAATCCACCGGGTCGCCTTTGACCTGCAGGCCTTTTCTGAAGCGAGCCTTGAACTCAGGAAAGTCCTTCGTGAACTTCGTTTGATCAGGCACTGCCTCCTGCCGTACCATGTAACCGAACATTGCACAGGTGCCCTCGGTAGGACTCCGAAGGCCTAACTCTGCAAGCATCGGGGCTAGAAGGCCTAGGACTTCGGCCGCCGAAGGCTGCCTCTGCAAGGCTTGCCACTGATCTTCCGTCATGTACAGCGGGAAGTTCGTAAAGTCTTGCAAAGTCTTCCGTGCAGCAGTCGCGGCCGGAACGGTCTCTACCTGGACCATATTTGAAACCATCTCCTTCATCCTCCCCGCGGTCTCCATACCCCAGCACGCATCGTCCAGCTCTGCTAGAATCTGGCTCGCGACCTCTGTCGACATCGACGAGCTCTTGCCGAGCATGGTTTCAAGCACACGACCCTGCTGTCCCTGCAGAAGTGCAAAATTCGGCAGTGCCATCGTCTGCCGTAGGAAGCCTTGAGCTGCCTTCAAGTGATTCAAGACTTGCGACATCTTGGATGTCGCACGTGAAAAACGCTTTGCTTGAGCCAAAACTATGTAATGCAGCAAAAAGTTCATAAATGTTATAAAAATAACTCCAAATAACTTTAACTGCTTTGAAACAACGAAAATACACAACTCCAAATAACTCCAAATAACTTTTTTCGTCGTCAGCCGGTTTCAAGATAACTCAACATAACTTCCTTAAAAAAAGGGTCGAAGTTATTTGGACTTGTGGAGTTATGTTGAGTTATGTTGAGTTATGTGGACTTATGTGGAGTTATATGGACTTATAAGTCAACATAACTTCGGGGCTACCTAGGTATGTATGCATGCACGCACCGTCCGCAGCAGACGGTGTGAAAACGAGCCCTTTGGCAAGGTTGTTGGCGACTGCATCGGCTTCTTTTTTAAAGACTCCAGTGCAAGAGAGGTTAGAACAAGGCTGCAAGAAAATCCTCAGGGCGGTGGGATGGCACGGGGAGCTTCATGCAGGCATCACGGACGAGCGCCCAAGTGAGCCAGGTCGGAGGAACGAAGGCGACCGTCAAGCGCTGTCCTGGCAGGCAAGAGCGCAGCTAACGTGGAGGCGCACGAATGTGAAGTCACAGAGAATCACAAAGAAGCACGATGGAAACACCTAGCATGGCACCTCCTGCAAGTGACGGCAGAGCTCGGGGATGTGGCCAGCAGCGACGATAGCGAAGAAGGGGTCCACGACAGTGAATGCTTTCTGGGTCGACATGACAGGGCGATCCCATGTCACGCAATCCCAGAGCTTGGCCGGTTGCGGTCTCGGCCGAGAACCATGCGAGCACGCCCTCCATTGCTGGCTCCGCTGCCAGGAGGGATCCGCGGTTCTGCGGCTGAGAATGGCCGAGACATGGTATGGCCGGCGGCAGCCAGGGAGCCACCACCTGCCAAACCCTTGCGCGGGCCATGGTCCAGCTTTCTGTCGGCAGCGTCGGCTTGTTCCTTCTCGACCAGGTTGACGCGCGAGTAGACGCGCTCCATTGCCTGCGAGACACCTTTATGACGCCGGAGGTGTTAGTTGCACCGGGATGGCACAAGCACGCCCAAACTCCGGGCAGTTTCAAGAAGAGAGAGAGAGCTCACTCCAAGTTATTCTTGGTAAGAGACGAGATTCATTCTAGCAGAGAGAGCCTTTACCTCTTGGTAAGTCGCCTTTATCTTAAGAAGATTGAAGAGACTTCGCTCCTAGTAACCTAGCAGAAGAAGCCAGAGCTCCCCCAGCTTCCAAAAAGAAAAGTCTTCTACCTCATCCTCCACAAGAAATGACTGCTACAGGCTTTCTCGCGAGATAGATCCGAAAATCATAAATCGCAAGGGGTGTCCCATTAGGTTTTGAAGAAACGCAGATCCCAAAATCACGGATCGCAAAGGGTGTCTCCCTACAGGTTTGTGTTAGAGATAGGTTCCCAAATCATAAACTAAGGGCTGTTCCCGTAAGGTTCCCTTTAAGGCTTTAGAAAAACTCGCAGATCGCAAGGGGTGTACCCCTACACGCGACACAAGTACCAAAATCATCGAATCGCAAGGGATGTCCCCCGGCAGGGTTTCGCAGAATAATCCACGGGTGGGGGGGGGCCAGCGGTGGGTGGGTGGGTTGGTGGAAGGTGTGTAGTGTCGCTCCAACCGCCAGTCCCCCAGCCCACGCCTGCCTGCTTCCGCACGCCCAGCCTTCCGACCGAGCAGAAAGCAGGTAAATATCGCGTTGAAACACGGGCTAGGGATTTCACACATCTGCTCGCAAAATCTGGCTGCAGTGGGCTGTGATCAGCCTTTTGCTCGGTCGCCGCTCACTTCCGCCAGATGTTGCCAACAGATGTGTGAAATCCCTAGCCCTTTGTTTTTTGCAGTATTTGCAGGCTTTATGCTCGATGGAGGCTCACTTCCACCAGATTTTGCCAGCAGATGTGTGAAATCTCTAGCCCTTTGCTTAATGCGGTATTTACAAGCTTTTTGCTCGATGGCGGCTCACTTCCGCCAGATTTTGCCAGCAGATGTGTGAAATCCCTAGCCCTTGTTTTAACGCGGTATTTACAGGCTTTCTGCTCGGTGGCGGCTCACTTCCGCCAGATTTTGCCAACACGTGCGGTGGTGGGCTGGGCTGGGGGCTGGGGCACGCACGGGGTGTTTTCCACTAGGTTTTCAAGAAACGCAGATCCCAAAATCACGGATCGCAAAGAGTCTCTCCCTACAGGTCTGTATCAGAAATAAGTGCCCAAATCATAAACCGCAAAGGCTCTCCTCCTAAGGTTTCTCCTAAGGCTTTACAAAAACTCGCAGATCGCAAGGGGTGTCCCCACAGGTACCACAATTCAAATCGCAAGGGGTGTCCCCCGGCAGGGTTTCGTGCAGAATAATCCACGGGTGGGGCGGTGCCGGGAGAAAGGTGTGTACCCCAGCCCACGCCTGCTTCTTCCGCACGCCCAGCAATCCCACCGAGCAGAAAGCAGGTAAATATCGCGTTGAAACACGGGCTAGGGATTTCACACATCTGCTCGCAAAATCTGGCGGAAGTGAGCTGTGATCAGCCTTTTGCTCGATCGCAGCTCACTTCCGCCAGATGTTGCCAACAGATGTGTGAAATTCCTAGCCCTTTGCTTAATGCGGTATATACAGGCTTTTTGCTCGATGGCGGCTCACTTCCGCCAGATTTTGCCAGCAGATGTGTGAAATCCCTAGCCCTTGTTTTAACGCGGTATTTACAGGCTTTCTGCTCGGTGGCGGCTCACTTCCGCCAGATTTTGCCAACACATGCGGTGGTGGGCTGGGCTGGGGGCTGGGGCACGCAAGGGGTGTTTTCCATTAGGTTTTGAAGAAACGCAGATCCCCAAATCACGGATCGCAAAAAGTCTCTCCCTACAGGATCCTACAGGTCTGTATCAGAAATAAGTGCCCAAATCATAAACCGCAAAGGCTCTCCTCCTAAGGTTCCCCCTATAAAAATTCGCAGATCGCAAGGGGTGTCCCCGACAGGGTTTCGCGCAGAATAATCCACGGGTGGGGTGTGCCGGGGGGGGGGGGGTCGGTAGAGCCCGAGCCGCAACCGAGCAGAAAGCATGTAAATACCGCGTTAAAACAAGGGCTAAGGATTTCACACATCTGCTGGCAAAATCTGGCGGAAATGAGCCGCCATCGCGTAAATACCGCATTAAACGAAGGGCTATAGGGATTTCACACATCTGCTCGCAAAATCTGGTGGAAGTGAGCTGTGATCAGCCTTTTGCTCGGTCGCAGCTCACTTCCGCCAGATGTTGCCAACAGATGAGTGAAATCCCTAGCCCTAGCCCTTTGTTTTTTGCAGTATTTACAGGCTTTATGCTCGATGGAGGCTCACTTCCACCAGATTTTGCCAGCAGATGTGTGAAATCTCTAGCCCTTTGTGTAACGCGGTATTTACAGGCCTTTTGCTCGGTGGCGGCTCACTTCCGCCAGATTTTGCCAACAGATGCGGCGGCGGAGTGGGGCTGGGGACCGGGGCCCGCAAGGGGTGTCCCATTAGGTTCTGAAGAAACGCAGATCCCAAAATCACGGATCGCCAAGAGTGTCTCCCTACAGGTCTGTATCAGAAATAAGTGCCCAAATCATAAACCGCAAGGGCTGTTCCCCTCAGGTACCCCTAAGGCTTTAAAAGCTCGCAGATCGCAAAGGGTGTCCCCCTACAGACTTGAGCGCAAAACAGGTACCAAAATTCAAATCGCAAGGCGTGTCCCCCGGCAGGGTTTCGCGCATCAACGACTCCACGTAGTAGTCCTGATTGATGACGTTCTTGTTGTAGCTGTTTGCGTCCATCACTGTCTCGATGTCAGCGCCAGCGTGGCGATACGCTCTGGTTTTAACCATCCCCCATGTGTAGGCGTTGTCGATCTGCTTCCACGGTCGGTCTCAAGTTTTGAGAACCAAACCCAAAGGCACCGTTCGCCAAGGATTGGTACTCCACCAAGCTCTGTCAACTTTTTGTGAAGTGAGAGCCACAACCCTCTCGGAGCCGGCGTTGAACCGTAGATGTTCTTCAGGGTGCGAAGTATTCCTTCGTCACCCACGTCCAAGGCATCCCGTAGTTCTTGAACTCCATATGTCCAAAGCTCACGGTCAGCTTCCGTAGGCACTGTTTGAAGAAATGCCGTCTCCAAGTCCAGAGCCTCTAGGTCCCATTGAATTTTGGGTGGAGAGGACGCAAAGGAGATTGCGGCCCAGTGTCAATTGAACTGGGCTTGAGTTCTTGAAGTTTGGATCCAGAAGGGATGGATGCTCGAAGCCAAGAGGAACCACCCGTGCCTTTGCTTTGCGCTTGCCGTCCTTGGTGCGGAGGGTCTTGTCGGCATTGGTCATGGCATCGTTGACAGCCTCCTGCAAGTCCGCAGGAGGGGTTAACCTCCACGTGAGCACCCATCGTGCTCTCACAATCCTCCCTGAAGCGTAGGACTTGTTGACCTCGGTTTGATCAAGACATCGGCGAACTGCTTCATTTGCCACGAAGGGGGCGTACTTCTTTGGACTTCGCCCTGTCGAACAAAGCTTGCTCTTGTGGTGAAAGTCGGCTGAGGCTCACCTCCGCATCGCGCATCTTTTTGACCATGTAGGCCGCATCTTTTTGACCATGTAGGCCACAAGGTTTCGCTCCAGGAACTTGCGCTGTCGGTTGGACTGGGGCGCTGGTAGTTCGAACTCCACCTTGAGGAATTCATTCACATCCTCCATAACCGTGAACAATTCTGCTTCTTGAGCCTCTTCGGCAGCACCTGCCTCAAGTTCCTCAATCCATTTGAGGTCATACTGCACCTTGGCCTTCTTGGTCGGTTGAGGCTCAGGTGCTTCACCAGCACCAAGTGATCTTGTAGTAGATGATGTCGCAGGCTCTCCTTCCTCGCCGTAGTCGTTCGTTTCCTCTTGTGTAGGCGATCACCAACAGGACTGTCCACATAGTCGCCAGGTCTGAAGGTGACCTTGTGTCGAAGTCGCCGGGTAGGAGCGACGACGGTGCTCTCATCAGGTTGTGGTGGTAGTGAAGGAAGTTGGACCTCGGTATCCTCGGGCACTTGGTCCGTGATGTCCACAAACTCTTTCTTTGGCAACACATCAGCCAAGGACTTCCATTTAGAGGGTTGCTCCTGCCCAGTCGTCTCGTAGACAAAGCGCTCATCCACAGTCACTTGTCTGACAGAGTGCACCGAGCATCGGAGTAGCTGGGTTCCTGAGGACCCAGACGATGTGCCTTCTGTCGTCTTCCAGGTCTTTCTGATGAGGGAGAACTTCTGAAAAGACAACACGTCCAGGACCCATCCAGTGAGGTCGACCAGTTTTCCTAAAGCCTCCACGTGGTCCACGATGTTGTTCTGCTGGCCAAACTCGTCTCCACACCTTCACCAGGTCCATGGGTGAGAATGTCCTCAATGGTTGCCGTACTGTCGTGTTTTGTAGTTTGAGGACGCTTGTCCCGTCCCCACGTGTTCGGAGATTAGAATGCTCAGGGTCTCTTCGGCATCGATCTCGGCTTGCATGGCATCCACGATGGTCTTCGTTGGCATCCGGCTGTGCATCAACTTCCGGAGCTCCCGAAGACATCGGGCCACCAGCTCCGGGTTGCGGCACTGAGTGTGTTGTCCCGTTGAGCCCATTCTCGGAGTGTAGAGTAGACGTAGACCGCAAACCACGCAGTTGATCCACTGCCCATGTTGGTTGCCCTTCGTCGGTGAAGCTGTGTGCTTCCCCATGCATGGCCACTGGTTGGGAGATGCTCGAGGGTCCCTCGGGTCCATCTTCTGAACTCTGCTGAGGTTCATAATCGGCTTTGCTTTGGCCTTTGCCTTGGCACGGGCTGCTTGCTGGAGCAGCTGGTTGATCTCGGGGTCGAGGTGCTGCAGCGGCGTCGTTGGCATGAGTAGAACGAGAAGAGGAAGTCGTCGGGGAATTGGTTGCGGCAAGAGTGCCACTCATCGAAGCCTGAGCTTGAAAGGCTGCCGGCTGGGAGGTTGCGTGTGAAAGCCTCAAACAATCTCCAGATGCACTCACGAGAAAGCTGCTCTTCCTGATCATCTAACTGTCGGTCACACACTGTCATGTCAAACCATGTGGCTGTCCCTAACTCCAGCAGTTGATGATTATAGACGGACTTTGCAGACTTCACAGCGACCTTGGCATGACCACTGCTGCCGCTGCATCCCTTAGTTAGATGTTCAACAATGTCAATGACGTAGTGCCCTTTGTGTTGGTGTTCAACTTGTAGACGGTAGGATGGCTGTCTTGAGTATTCACGGCAAGTCCTGACGCAAAGTCAAGGATCATCCCCACGCCTGATGGGCCAAGGAAGTCCATACCTACCAAGACGGGCACAATGTACTTCGGTCAAGGTTGTTCGGATAATACTCTGTCGGATTTGGCAGCATGTAGAGACAGAAGCTTTGACGTGAACCAGAAACCGTACTCGACAACCCAACTCTGCAAACAGCACGTGGCCGCGCGGACTGATCGACTTCGATGGAGCCTGAGGGTCGCGGCTAAGAACTGCCTCTACTAGGCTCCGTACAACAGCGGCGGGAATTGCAGATGCGGTAGCTCCGGAGTCCAGCATGCCTTGCTTGGAGTCATTGTGCTTGGAGGGCAACGAGCTGGAGGCATTCAGACCAAGTGAAGGAACCGTTTCCAAGCCGCCAAGGTAAAGGTCGGTGGCATAGGCATTCACGGACCGGCTGGGATCCATCTTCCCCTTTCCTTTGCCCTTGCCTTTGCCTTTCCACGCAGCTTGCACGTCCATCCACATGTTCCGCTTGCCCTTGGATTTGCTCTTGCCCTTGCCCACGTAGTTGGCATAGAAGTCATCCGATTCCATGACATAGCCCTTGAACTTGCCCTTCCCCTTGCCAAAGGAGGAGCCTTTGCCGGAAGGACAGTCGCGAATCAGATGTGGGCCACCGCAGTTGTAGCATCGTGTTGGCGCGAACATGCCGAAGCCACGATCTTTGCGAAGCAGCTGAGTGGCCCGCTGAGCCTCAGACCAAGACCTGTTGGCCTCTGCCGCCAACGATTCTGCAACTGTAACTCGCTCTGCGGCCTGCATCCGGAGGTTCAGCGGGCTGTTTGGCCACATTGATTTCCCGACAGGGGTTTTCAGGCCACCAACTCTCATCCTCGTAGAAGTCCGCGGCATACGCGTAGTTGTCCCACCAACCGTCATCTTGATGCCGCCAATCGTCCTCACCCTCCTGGTAGTAGACGTCCATCTCGTCCTGGTACGCCACGAAGTTCTGATAGGAGCCGAATTGTTGGTGCTTGTGCCCTAACACCTGCTCTTCCCACAGGTTCTGTAGGGCCGCTGCAATCGTCTCCCTCTTCTCCTCCGCACTAAGCCCGGCAGAGCCGCCACCCCCGCAACACTTCGAGGATGAAGCTGTCGGCAAGGCTGAGCTCATCGATCGATGGCTTTTCCAAGGGACCGTCAGCACGAACCGAAGGAGGTCGAGGACCAGAGGAGCCGACCTCGGCATGATGGCTCGGAGATGAGCCCGTAGTAGCTCGCGGTCCAGCTGCAGTTGCTGTTGCATCACCACCATCGGCGGTCTTAGAGGCACCGCCCACAGGTCCATCGCCTTCTCCATCAGCTCCTTCATCCTCACGAAGTTCGTCTTCGCCCCAGTGAGCATCATCCCACCAAGACCAACCTCGCGTTTCCCAGTCATCGCCATCATCCGCTGGTAAGCCGAAATCCCGTTTCTCCTGGCTCACTCCATTTTTGTCTTCACGGAGTCTGATGATGGCTTCACTGAATTCCTCGTGGACGAGGGATTCACGAACGAGAAAACTGGAAATGTTTTCTCCTTGACGTCGTTGAAAGGAGAAATACTGAGAGCAGATGGCCGCCGCGTTGGGGAAGGTCTTCCTGACGAGGGGCGAAGCTGCAAGCTTCTGAAGATAAAACTTCGTCCCACCTGGCTGCTCGAACGACATTCGATTCCAACTCATCGGAAGGGTCCTTGCTGGAGCTGAAAGTCGACTCAGGAGTCGATGCGCAGTGTCTGCGCTTGTGCAAGGATGCGCCTTGGACAAACCATGCCACTTCGCGCGTGTACCGGCGCCAGCTCCTGGCCGATCCGTCCCAAGCGGGTGCATTGCTCCGCTCGTCCATCTCGACGACTGCGAAAACTGAAGTGAAAGGAAAAACTGTTCACAAAGACATGGGAACTTGCCGGAGTCGAAGGAGAAAATCGCCGTGAGGACGTAGAAGACCCCAAGGCGCAGACCGTGCCCAGGTAGAACAGAATCGTGTAGAGAGGGGGCACGATCACAGGCTGCTTCCGGACTGTTCCGAGGTCCTTGGAGCTTGTGCTCCGCTGCCAATGCAGCAGGGTTAGCACAACGAAGCGTAAAGAGGGGCTCAGACACTTGCACAACTAAGCGCACGCAGCACTCGGAGTTGTCCACGACCACGGAGGTCGTCCGTTGCTCACTTGTCGAGGCTCTACAGGGGCCCCTGCTGTTAAGCATAACGAGGCCCATACGGAATGCATGGCTGACTGGCTAGATGTCACTGTTGCAGAGTCTTAGTCTCAACTTGACCGTATTGCTGTCATTCGAATTATTTCAGAGACACTACCCCTTTACTATGATTAGTAGTACTGTGTTATTGTTATTACTGTTCTCTCTAGTGCTGTTTTTGCTACGCTTACCATTCTTCTCACTATTACTATAAGTATTGTTGCTTTATATGTACTACTAGTATTACTATAGTACTATCACCCTTATCACTCGCAGTAGTATTATTGTTCTTGCTATTAGCAATTTACTCTCGTTTCGATTACCAATTAATAGTGTTCTTATTATCACTATTGAACGCACTATATTTTGACATTGCACTTACTCTCGTTATAATTACTGTTGTAATACTATTCTAGAACTACAAAGCGAGAGGGTTGGGATAGTTGGGATGGTCGGGTCAGGGTGGCGCGTTTCCGGGGCGGGAGGGGTTTGGGATGATTGGGATGGTCGGGTCGGGGGTGGCGCGTGAGTCGTGCCGCACCCAAATTCAGATTCACCATGCTGGAACTGAACACCGTAACATCATGATAATGGATAGATTCGTCTTTCAACAAAGTTCTGCAAAAGACTAAAATCCGTGCAAGCCTCACCATGGGCATCATCTCATTCTGAAGTTGCAAAAACAGTGTGCTGAGTATGTATGTTTTCCTCTTGCCCACCGCACCCCCGCACCCACCCACACGTCACTTCTTCACACCACCGCAGCCTGTTTTTTGAATCAACAGCGGCAAACAGCGGCAGACACGACCCCACTCCACCAAGGCCGAACAAAGAGTTGCAAAAGTTGCAGCTTGGAGCCGCACGGCACACTTGCACTCGTGGCGCTGCTGGTGGCAGTCACAGGCTCTGCAGCGGTTCCTGGCATCGAGCATCGAGCTGCAGAAAGCAGCAACGGATCGACAAAGACTCTGCGGTCCTTGCGCTGTTCCTTCGAGTGTGCACGGATGCCCTGCCGCTTCCTGCGATCTCGGCTTTCCTCGCTGACATCGTGACAGGCGTGCTTCTCTGTGCAGGTTGTTGTGTTGCAATGTGCTTCAAGCTCCTGCCGCACCCGCAGCCCGAAAGCGCGCCTTTTGCAAGACAGCGGGTGAGCAAGCAAGCACAAGGACAATTATCACAGCTGACTGCTGAGGGTGCTGATGATGATCTTCATGATACCGCTCATGATACAGTCGAATGAACATGATGCGCAGGGAGCGACGAAGCAGAGGCGGTGGAGGAGCAGGAGAAGGACGACTACTTCATCACCATCATAAGGCTCGTCGCGGTCATATGCGCAGTGTCCCAGCTCTGCTCTTGCCAAACCTTATATGATCTTAGACAACAATACACAAGCAGCTAAGCAGCTTTGGCCTCCTCGGACGTTACCACGGATCCGCGAGAGCCGCGAGAGCGTCCCGCGGAGAGGCCCGCCGAGCCCGAGCACGAGGGAGACGCCGAGGGAGAGGAACCTCGAAGTGGTGTCTTTAACATGTTGTGGCGGTTCAAGCACTCACATGTCCAAGTTCAGAGCACACTGCCAAACAACACACCAGTCGCCATCCCATCATCACCACCACCACCACCACCACCACCACCACCATCCTTTCTGGCTCTTATCCTTGTCCACGATGACGATGTGGTCGATGATTAGGCGCGACTCCCTGATGTTGATCACTTCTGGTCCAGAGGCATACTATCGCAGTCGAAGGTGCGTTCCCGAGTGCTTCTTCTCATGGCTTCGTCTTTGCGGTCCGCAGACCCTGCAATCCAACGGTTCGCTCTTGCAGTCTGCAGTCGACATTCCTGCAGTTCCTGCAGTCGCCGAATTCACACTCGCTAGCACAGACCCGTTGTTGAATGCATCCTAAAATATGATACTGTAGCCACAAAGATGGACAAAAGCTATACCCACAGGGATGACAGAAAAGGATCTTTCTTTCAGAGACGCAAGAGACGGTGACTGTCGATTCTTGGTTTTATGTAGGTCGTAGGTGCCCATCCCTCAGTGATGCCTGAGGCCGCAACTAGCCTTCGTCTTGCCGAGTTGAAACAAGTCGTTCCAGCTTTTTCCGAACCCAGCGAACACCGAGTCTTTTGAGATTTTTTTTGCTACTTTCCATATTCGCGGGAAGCGACGGTGGCGATGCTGATGGTGGTAATGATGCTGCTGCTGGTGATGGTGATGGTGATGGTGATGATGATGACGACGACTCTGCTTGCCATGGTTCACGTCCTTCTGTTTTTTCTTGGCTCTGGGACTCTGCTAGTATCTCTCTCTATCTGTCGCTGCCACTCCCTCCCGGGCATGAGGGACGGATCAGGTCCCCCGGAATTCAAGCCATGCGGCGCCGGATGAAGCTTGTGCCGAGAAAACGATGGTTCCCCACGCACTTGTCTCTTACAGCCATCGGCTTCACCACTTCAGGGAAGAGGCGGATGTTAAAAGTACATAAAGGAGACCAACAAAGTGAGCAATGTGAGCACGTATCGTCTTCCCCCAACGCGAACAGAGCTTTTACAGCTTACGCTCGCCCACTGTATATAAGTGCAACAGGCTGCTGGGGATCATGTCAAGCATCACGAGATATACTTCTGCCAAAGATGCCAAAGTCAACAAAACTGTACACACATCGATCCCAATCGCACGAGTTGAAAGCCTACCTGCAAGGGACATTCCCCGCATGGCAGGGTAGTGCGTGATACACGCATGAAGCTTTGACCCTGCATCGAGTACGAACAAGGCTGCAATCATCAGAAAACAGCTTGTACGGACACGACGCAACTTGGCAAATGCGGCAGATGGACCTGACACAGCATGCTAACCATGATTGCTAGGGCTAGCTAGTTACCCTCTCTCAGTGTTCAGCTCCGACTGCTGCTTGGAACACTTTCTAAGCCTTTGGACACGACCTGCCAACAGCCCCAACCAGCCTCCCGTACATTTCCCCAGTGGTATGTGCTGGGCTGCTCCTTTCCTTTTACTCACCTCGCTTGTTTGTATGCTGGGGTTGCGGGCCGGCTCTTTGTGTGTATGCTGAAGTGAAGTGATTGCTATGGCCAGGCGGCCCACCTGCTGTGCCTGCGCATGCCTGCGCGGCACCGTTTTTCACCCCTGTCTTGTCGGTGCCGATGCTGATTTTACAGGGTCTGCAACGTACATGTTCTTCGCGAACGCGTTGGCGAGGGTTTTTCCGAAAGGGGTGCTTGGGATGACAATCTATTTTAATTATGTCGTGTGGTTTTCGGTCCATTAGAACGCACATTTGCAATCCCAGGTGAACGTGAACTCGTTGACAGCTCAAATCCTGTAAGCATAATAGCACGACTTTTGCACGATGCTGCGTGCTTTGTGGAGAAAATTGCCACGATGTGAATGTAGGACACAGCATCCTTGTAGTGGTGGTAGTAGTGGTAGCCCAGCAAAATGGACCCCACCCTGTCCGTATCTGCCCATGGAGCACGAACCGAAGGGGGGCAGCAGTAGACAGCCAAACCCTGCCTTCAGTAGTTGCAAATACATCACGAGAACGCACGTCAAACAGACGCTAAAATGTGGTAGTCCGCTGTGTCCTGTTTGCAAACAACGCCACATGCTGAAGGTCTCCAGGCATGCTCAGGGCATGCCGAGGCGATGAGGGCCCTGAAAGCATGAAGGCGCGGAGGGCGCTGAGGGCGCTCAGGACGCCGAGCTGTGAGCCCCAAGCCATGCGCGGTTTAGATATCAGCGTTCATGGCATCTGCCCGGCTGATGCCCTGAATCTGAACGGGGACCGAAAGCAGAACATGTTTCACCCCGCTTTGAAGTTTAAGGGGTTCTGCTGGCACATCCATGGCCCAACTTGGCCCAAGCATACACTGACGTGCATGGGCCAATGCGTTCTCAATTCACAGCATCCATGAACCCTGCCATGACGTTCATGCTGTGATATAAGTTCTCATGCAGCATCCATGGCCCAACCATAATGCGTGACGTATATGCTCTGCAATACGTTGTGAATCCACACCATCCATGGCCCAACCACATAATGCATGACGTGCATGTTCTGAGGTCCGTGGCGCAACCCAAGTACGGCGAAACCACATGCAGCGTCGCTGCTAAAAGGGGGCTCAGTGCCCACTTCTTGACGCAGTACCTGGGGCTTGAAAACATAGCTCCCAAAGTGGTGGCGTATCAGAACTTGAACCGCGACACTGTGCCACCCTAAGACCTGTGGAGTCTGGATGAGTCGACACCGATTCTGATTTAGTTTCCTGAAGTTTGCTAGCCCTGCCAGCCTTTATTTCGCTTCGCGTCGCAGAGCTCTTAAATCTAGTGATGCTGTTCTCTTCGCAGATGCAGCCTACCTTGACCGCACCCTGCTATGTCCCCCAGTGTCTAAAGGCACGTAAGTGCTGACAGGATTCCAGCGCGACCAGAATGCTTTCCGCACATACTGGCACATCAACAAATGCTTTCGCCCAAGTACCCGCGGGATTCAGAAGCGCGGCGCTTTGCTTCCCCACATGGTTATACTAGCTGGATTCAGGAAGCCCCCGTTCCGACTTTGCCCCATCGGCACCGCAAAGACCTGAAGTGTGCTCCAGTTTGGCCCGAATCGTCGGCCAGCCAGCAAGGTAGGAATTCCGACTTTGCCCCATCGCCACCTCAAAGACCTGAAGTGTGCCACAGTAGGCCGATTTCGCCGGCCAGAACCGAGGCCGGGATACCGGCTTCAGTGCGGGACATCCGACCTTGCCCGGAACCGTTCGAAGTGGGTCACAGTATGGTCGGTCGGTTTCGCCGGCCAGTCCATGGGGCACTTCTTCGGTGCTGCTGCATTTGGAAGCCCAGCAGTTGGCAGCAGCTGTCGGATGTGTATACACATATATATAATTTTTGACAAACATAAACCGTCAGTTGGGAGCCAAGGCAGTAAAAAGGGCCAGGCCCAGCCGGGGTCCATGCCCGTCCCCAGACAAGAGCACCGATGGGCATAGGAAAAGGAAGATGCCGGCAAGGGGATGTAGACATGGAGGCGGATGGAGAAATTGGGGCACAACAGACCCTGGCACTGAACACGAAAGTGGCTCTTTGGGAAAGCTGTGGCCCGCTTCATTAACGCGGGCTGTACTAATCCCTCAGACGGTGCAGGAAACCTAGTCAAAACGCCATGCCGGTCATAGAAAGCAGCGATCGCGGCGCCGTCGATCCCTTTCGGACCTTCTTCGCCGCGAGTGCCTACCCGACATCAAAGGCTTGCAGGAGGCGCACATGGACACCGAGCTACCCCCCGGCGGACCATGCGGGCAGCCGAGTTCCCTCCGGAGCTCTGTGCATTTCGCTTGCGAAGTTGGAAGGTACTCGGTACTTCACCTTTGGCCATTTGGCTTGTGACAGTTCCGGTGTGCTCTTCACAGCCTGCCGGAGCATCTCGTGCAGGCCATCAGAGCTTGAGCTGCCAGCTCCCCTGATCGCTACGTTTTTGATCCACTCCATCAGGACACGTCGAAACTGCATATCATAATCTCACAAACCAGAGCAGTATGCGATGACACATGCTCGTTCGCAGAGTAAGTTTTCTTTGCAAGCTGGCGATTTAGTGCGTGCTTGTTTGCAGGCGCGTTGGTTGGGTCTCCCCCTCTGGGCTTCCACCTGCACATGAGGTGCTGTTCGAGTTTGTCTGTCGTGGTGGCTGGCCGTCTGGGAGGCCAGGGTTGTTGTCAGCTTACTTGAAGTGGCTCAGCTGCTGTCGCTGCGGGCTCTCTGACATGTTGCCAAGCAGGGTGCTTGGGGTTTCCGGGGATTGGAGAGTATCCCGACTTGACCGGACACTTATACTGAGGTCCAGGCTGTCATCTTTCGGGTTGTCACTGCGGCTAGGGGTTGTTCTGGAGCCCTCCCTCCCTCTCTCTGCTAAGCTTCTCTCCCCCTAGTCTCCGCCACGCAGCCGAGCTCGAAGATCTCCTTCTGCCGGTCCATGTTGCTCGCCCAAACCACAGGAGCCTGACACAAAAAAAGGCGACAAAGCGCAAAAGAGAAGAGAGGGCTGGAATCCGGACGGCGCCTCCGAGGCACAGCCGGTAAGCCCTGCCCGTCGCAAGAGAAAAGCATGGATCCCGAAATCTGCGTAAGCCGAAAGTTGCCTGCAGAATTGATGGCTGCCACGCTGCAAAGGCATCCCGAGCAGGAAGGCAGCTGGTCAAGCCTCAGCTGACATCCCTTCGGGCCAGGCCGCAAGCCAGCAGCTCAGCAGCTCAGCAGCTCACTTCACGGGGGCTTTCTGCGTTCGAGAGCCTCTAGACCTGTCCCCAAGGTCAAAGAGTCAAACAGGAATCCGCGACGGGTCGCTTTGCTTTCGAAGCCTGTGCTCGAAAAGGCCCAGGTCGATGAAGCCATCCGAAGGAAAGAAGCCTCCCAAACCGTCCTGCAGCAGGCGAGGCATGGCGAGGCGAGCGCTCGTTTTTCTCCCCTCGCCTGGAAGACGGGTCGCAGCCAGATCCTCTCAGGCTCTCAGCGCTTCCCCAGATCTTCAAGGCTGGAAACTTCGAGACGGTTTGATCCTGTATGCAACGAGGTCAGCGCCGCCGTTGTCCGCGGGTGGCTCCCACTCGATGGTCAATGCCTCAAAAGCACGGCCGGACAACTGGCTGCAACTGCTGCAATGGGTCTTGTGGGCGACCGCGACGGTCTGAGGTAGGTGCAGACATCTCCCCTTCCACAGCGATGCGCGCTTCGCCACAAAGACCAGGAGCCACTGGCCCTGTCTGCCCGATGACCTCCCGCGGATCGGAGCTGCGGGCGGAGCTGCGGAGCTCAAAGACTTCGCGTCGTGAGGATACGTCCACGTCTTTCCGCGGTCGCTTTGCCTCTGCCGCCGGGCCTGCACCAGCCTGGAGCGGCAGAGCGTTCTGATATCTGCCAGGTTCGCTCGCGGACTTGCCAATTTGATTTGGCACACAATTTCTCCTTCTTTCACCGCTGCAAGCTGTGGTCAAGAATCAAGAACATCACTAAACACTTCGAATGCCACACTTCTCGAGCAGTGTAGTTCAGCGCAGCTCCGCTTCATCTTTACGGTATACTAGACATCGAGGGTGAACCCTTTCAGACCATTTTAGACCCTGTCCATGACGTGGGCACAGTGAGAGCGACATGTGTAAGGCGAAGAGGAAAATGAGTCGAAGGAACAACTACTACAGACGTCATTCTTGCAATGCTGGTCGTCATCATCGTCGCCATTGCCGTAGCAGCGACACCAACGTGCAGGAACTCGAACCTCTAGAGGTCTATGCCATCTGTGTGCTTGTGGTCTACTAAGACATTCGAGCAAGAACCGATAACTGCTGAGGTGCAAAAGGCTGGCATCAAACCCAGACCCATGCCTCGTTCACGGCCCATACGCGGATCGTGTACACCTCAGCCACAGAGAAAGTTCAAAGGAATCGGTAAAGATTAGCTTGTGAGGGACAGCCTAGCAGTAGTCGAAAGCCACAAACGATCTCAAAGCTAAGACTCCGTGTTTCCGCTCAAGTTTTTGAGCGTGACAGAAGGCTCCGGTGATGCCGGAGCACTTGCTGTCCTGAAAGGGCTCAGGGCTCTCTGGTTCTCAGTCCATGGTGCCGTGCTGTGGGTCGCCTGGGTTCGTCGGGCAAGTACCCCACGCCGGGTGCTCCCATCGAAATGCGTCCACCGAATTGAGGTTCTCGCGCCTGCAACGGAAAACGTGCAGCATTTCTGTGACAGTGGCCCTGCACAGCACCTCGATCCGGTATCCGCCTGTGACATGGCCAAAGCACAGCACAGGCCTCACGTCTAGAGTCTGTACCTGTCTATACATATATATCGCTATTTACACTTTACATGAAGCTTCATGGCGCAGTCCAAGGGGCGCAGCGGCAGATCGCCGTCGCTTGAAGGCGGCTCCCAGGCCAAACGCAACTCGTCGGCCCTGAGAAGCCACAGGAGAGGAGCCGAGCAGAGTAGGGCTGAGCTCAGCTTGTGCCGTTCGCTCCGGTGCAGCCGGCATGGCCTTGCCGCATTCACGACGTGGAGGCTCCGCACCGGAGCTGGCGTGGTGCTGAGAGAGAATCTGTCAATGTTGCGGACTACATGGCGGCAAGCCGACATCATCTAGCGACTGCCATGTCGCCTGCAAGTGATGAAACCAACCTCACTGGAGTCCTTGACGATGGACCACGTGCAGGGCCTCACTTGCCGAAAAGGGTTTGCCAAGTTCAGAAAGTCTAGACCCCCGTAGTAGCCTCTTGTTGAAGCGCGGCTCCAGAGGAATGAAGCCTTAAGTGTCGCAGATCAACTACGCATGCCGATCAGTGAATTAAAGAATGTCGCACACACTCAATTGAGTTGGAAAGCATTGGCCGACGTGGCGTCTCGTGGGCGTGCTGTCCTGCAATAGAGGGATGCCTCATTGGGGGCCACCATAGGCGGGGAACCGCGTACTGCAGGATAGCCGTGCCCCTGTGCCTTTTGGGGGCTCAAGTCGGGCGAAGGTCGATTCTGAGGGCTGTCTGGCATCATTTTGGCAGCATGTAGTGCCACATGGGGGCGAAACTTAAGAATGCCAAGGTAAACAAATCTCGTGGTGCAGGGCCTAGTCCTTGAGGTGTGTATCATCTCTCTTGTAAATGCTGAATTTTGAATCCCAAAGATCAGACTGTGTTCGCGGTGTCCGCATCTTTAATTCAACTCTTTGAATACAGGCTGCAACATCACGAACACCATGCCATGGTCCAACGTGTGTGTCTGGGAAAACTCCCCGGATGGATTTGTGGATGTGACGTCCGTTGGGTGCGGCAACAAAACAAAAAGTCCTTCATCTGCACGATGCTGTACCCCGGTCCATCGGCAAAGGGCCATAGTCATGGGGAGGGCAGTCTTCTGTGAGATAGGACCCTGTGCCTTCAAATAAGCAGGGGTTCCAGTGACCAAATTAGCTCATCGTTCTGCATGATGGCATTTTTCCGGGCTCGTTGCGAGCTGGCCTCAATGCCCCATATGTTTTCAAGCCGGATTGCAACCCCGAGCTGCCAATGGCATGTTGTGCTTGCAGCCTGCCAGTGCTTTTGGTTGCAAAGCGAGAAACGACCATGAAACTGGCACCATATCACACCAGCAGCACTGTCTGCATTGCTAATCAGTACACAAGTAGTGACATGCAGTTATAGCTACTGATACAAACAACTAAGAAGACCGCACATGAATACACCATGCAAACAAAGAGTATATGAATTGCATATTTCAAGCATACCTAATGCAATTTACATGCAGTCAGGGCTACTGGCCTAGACTAGGGACAGCAAGCGCAGACCAAGCGCAGATCAAGCGCAGACCAAGCGCAGACCAATGTAGCAGTGGGTATAGTTAAGGCGCAGACCAGGCGCATTTCAAGCGCAAACCAATGTTTTGTTAACTAAATCTCATAAAATGCAGAGCTACTGCAGACCGACTTGAACATTATCAACAAGTGGAGTGCTAGTGAAACACAAAGCAAAGCATGTGCAGCATACAATAGCATGCCACAGTGGTCAGAAAAGCCAGATTGCAGTGAGGATGTATTATCAAAGCTTTTGCGAGTGGCAAGACTCTCAGTAACACCCAGGCACAACATGCAATATGCTGTCGAATACAGATGCAATGCAGATCCCAACAGTTAACATCGACATAGTCACTCAGGGCTGCTAGGATTCTCTAAACCCAGTGCATGATGCTTTTACAGACGTAGCACTCCAAGAAGAGGCCAAGTGCAAAACAAGGGCAGAGCACAGGAGAAGGCTAGTCCGGGTTTCGAAGTCCGAGGTTTCGAACGTCCAGCGTGAGAAAGGTGAAGTTATCGTCCTTCAAGACGTAGTGCAAAAAGTCCTGCGATGATCCCCGAATATAAGCCTCATCTGCAACGCCAGAACCACGAGTTTTCGCACAGCCCAGAAAGGAGTTGGATGCACTAGTCCACAACTTTGTCCATTCTTCCGGTTTCAAGCACGACGAGTGGTCTTGGATCTGTCACAGACATGTCTTGGTTAGGTGTTTCGAGTTATCACTGCTGTGTGGGAAATCCCGCAGATTCAATGTTCGTTGTTGTGTCCTAAACCATGGTTCCAAGGCCTCCAACAACAAGGCGGGGATAGGCGTACCTCCTCGGCCGGGAAAGGGGCCAAAACTGCGCAAAACTGCACAAAACTGGCCCCCAAGGGTGCCGGGACAACTTAGGCAAGGCTGGGCGTATCTTGCCTGGCTTGATTAACAGTAGAAGGCAGGCAGGAGCTTTCCCAGGCCATCTTCCCAAAACCGGACAGAGGCGGGGATGCGCGTACACCAGGGTTTATATAATTTAAATAGGAAGGACTCCCAGCAAACCGAACAGAGGCGGGGATATGCATACGGCGGGGATAGGCGTGGCGTACCTCAACGCGTGCTGGAATTCCCTCTGGCGCGTGCTGGTTTTCGGCCCCGAAACCGTCAGGCTAGGCGTACCTCCTGGGCTGCTGGACCTCACAAACCCAGCTCGTTCTTCAAACCAAAATAGAGTCCCGCCTGCGGCAGGCAATTCCAGATCTTGTCCTTCGTGTGATTGTACACCATGATGTTAAGCCAAGCTCGGTGTTTGCCCTTGGCGCCTGAGTTTTCTGAAGTGACCAGCCAATGGGAACAACTCCAAACAAAAACAACCCAACCACCTCACACCTACGACGACCCGCAATGCGCAGCACAGTCTCAGTGCAAAGCAGAACGAGCTTTTGGTTTGTCGAACCAGGTCAAGACGAGTCCAATGAGTAAGATCAGCGCCTGCCACATGCCCTTCTGCGCGACGCTGAGATATCTCAGCATGCTGTAGTTGACTGCCGGGTTGCCTCGCATATCAAAAAAATCTGGCTGTATCATTCAAAGTGTTGCAGGCACTGACATGAGCAGCAACATGCAACGACTCATGAATTGCAGGTGAGAAACCCTTCGAGGCACTTGCATCGTAGTCCGGTTTTTAAGTCCGAGGTTTCGAAGGTCCAGCGCGAGAAAGGTGAAGTTATAGTCCCTCAAGACTTAGTGCAAAAAGTTTGGATGATCCCCGAGTGGCCTGGAACGACGTCGTTGTCCCTATTATTTAAATATCACAAAAGCTGTGACAATGTGTTGACAAAATATGGCAGTGATGCGTGCGAATGCGGTTCAATGTTTGTTTCTTTGGCAAGCTACTGCGCCCGTCGGAGTGGTTCACGTCCTCACGTCCGCTCCGTAGCGACGATCAGAACGTTGTTTTGCTTTTTAGCGTCCGGCGTCTCATGGTACGTTCTTGTTCGGCCCTCTGGCACGAACTCCCGCGAGGGAGCACGGGCAGACGGCTGGTTCTGCCACGACGGCGAGTGGAACAGCGAGTGAACGACACGACCAGCGAGTCGAAAATACAAGGCAGTCCCTAGCTCCCAACCTGTATAGATTCATCCACTGGTGTCCTACCTGATGCTGCGGCCTCCCAGGCTACCTGTTGAGTGATATGAAGATCTCTGAATCGGTGTTTGCCTGTGGCTGCTTGCGGTGTTGCTGCCCAAATGGCCCTGTGTCTGTGAGGACGTGAAATGCTCAAGATCCTCCGTCTGATCCACATGTGCAGCAATCGGCGATACCCTTCTCCATGTGCCAGTGCTTCAACCACGAATGCAGGTGCAAACGACATGAGGAACGCAAAGCCATGAGTGCAAAGCCGGGGGGGGAAAGGCACCTGCTCCCGCAAGATTTCCTTGGTGTCCGTCAGGAGCACAACGTGGTTTCCGACGAGTCGAAGGCAGGGCTTCAAGGGCTGGTGTGTTTTCTGGGGGTTGGGCCGACGAGTTGCTGTCTCGAAAAACGTAGACAAGATTCATCCACAATTCCAGGAAAAAACATCTGCTATTCCCGTAACAGTAGTGCCCTCGTCTTAAGTTCTTGAAAAACCCTGCTCCCTGCATGCAAACAGTATCAATTTCGAAACCGTCCACCGTGTTCTTAGACATGTCGGATCTCTTTGCACCGTAGATATTTCAAGCCGCAGGTGTTAAGTAGTCAACTCCCGATGGATGGATACAGTACGCGTGGGAATTGTTATGTATTATGGGGGTGGCCTGGACTTCAAAATGACCAGTTGTGGTGCACCATGGAAAAAGGCCCCAGGGGTACGGCTATCCCGGCCATACGCGCATCCCTGCCTAAGTTTACCCCTGACCTCACTCTCTGTCACTGTGACGAACCCAGGTTCCGGTCCAGGAGCCCCAAGCGCTCCTGGCATCAGGGCACCAATTCCATGGGACTCTGTGCACTCTGAAAGCTGTCCTCCCAGACATCCACCGAGATGTAGTCCACGGGCCTCAAGGCAAAGGAGCAACCAAAGCTTCACGAGACTGGGGAGATTTGGAGTAAATCAAATTGCAAATCTTTGCGTCCCAGTGGCTCGGGCAGCCGCAATGCTGTCCGCTCCTCGACCCGGACTGCCGTCACCGAGCCTGTGGAGACGGAAAAGCAGGAGGCCGCCGGGGGCGCTGCATGCGTTGCTCCGCCGCTCTCCTGGGAGCAGGCTTCGCAGCTCCTCTTCGGAGATGCCATGACCTTCCGTCTCCACAGTGGAAGGACGGCAATCCGCAGGCATTCCCTGCAGGCATGCGCCATGTGCGCGCCTACTGGTGGAGCTGGAACCCGCGGCCGCAGTCGCTTCGCCACCTCCCCAGCCTCGTCGTGGCAAGCGCTCCCGGTCTATTTTTAGCTCGCTGGTCCCTGACCTGGAGAATGAACTCATACTCTGGAGCTCGTTCCAACCAGCCGGGCCTTTTGGAGATGTGCTGATCTGCTCTGCCATGCAGTGCTCCCGCTGTCTGGGCTTTTTGCTGGGGCAAACCTGAAAGGCCCAGGAAGACCAGGCCGAGCTGGTAGCCTCGGAGCCAAAAGCACAGCACGTAGGTATGCAATGCTTAGTTACTAGTTATAAACACCTACAAAACACCTACAGTACATGATGGCATGTGCAGATATACAGATGGATGGATAGATAACCAGGCAGCCGGATGGGACAGGATAGGATAGAACAGGACACGAATTAGGCTACGTTACGATACGTTAGATGAGTAGATACAGCTAGATAACTAGATAGATAGACGCACAGATGGCCACGACTTGCAGCTATCAACCCTTCTACAGGTGAGGTCTGCTTTGACTACAATGAATAGGTCCAGGTCCTGCCACAGCAGCATGTATCAGGATCACCTATTACAGCGCCGGCTGTTCGACCTCTACGCAAAGGCGCCAAGCAACGCACCGAGGATAGCTCCTCTGACCTGGATGTCAAACAGCAACACAGCAACAACCCACAGCCCTCTCCCCACACCCCTTTTCATCGGGACGGTTCCTGCCTTGCGCTCATGGCGGCAGGAAGGTCCCTGTTCGAGTCTGCGGAGTTTCGTGCAGCCGACAAGAAACGCAGCGCACCTCCTGCCGTTACTCAGCGCCATTCCTGCATTGCGATTTCGACGCTCACTGCGAAGAACAGAGTAAGAGCTATGCCGAAGCAAGAAACACAGCATGCAAATTCAACAGACTCGGCAGAACCAATCGCATCATCTCAATGATATTGCGAACATCGCCGTAGTTGCCCATTGGCGACAAAAATGATGCATCCTCGTTGCGATGAAAACTTTATGACGATGATGATGGTAGGTTTTTCACCACAACTTCCCACCCGCCCGACTGCAAATTCAACCCGCCCACAACCCCACCGGCACCATGGGTCGAAAGCAGCGAGCAGCGACCCTCGAGAGCAGCTGTCCTGTGCAACGTCTGCGAGGCAATGCCGGCCGGCCATGGTCACAGGCGACTGCTCCGGCTTTTCGATGCCCGAACGGCTGAGGAGGGGCTACCAAAGATACGTCATCAAGGGCTAGAGTACACGCGCGCAAGCCTACATCAAGGCGAAGGGAACAGCTGGAGTTTCAATGTCAGATTCTACTCCTTGTATAAACTATAATAGAAAATAAGTATGTTATAGGTATGTTAATGGTTGGTTTGCAGGTTAAGGCTCAATTATGAGCGTGCCGGGTTCATGCAGCTTTGTCCTGGCTACTGCGGCTACTGCCCGCGCTGCCCGCCGGTGGGTGCAGCCCGTAGAATTGAAATAGTTGTGTCTGTAAATACGCTAACCAAGTATCGTATTGAATGCGTGAACGTACTTTCAACAGCACGACGACTCTTGCCTAAACCTTTAAACATTTAAACCCTACAACTGGCATGTACTGACACAAACACAGCTACTTACTTACGTACGGAGGCCCTTCGAGCCGAAGCCAAGGCCAACATGTCAACTGGTCTTCGGGCTGGTTCTGGATGTAGTGTTTCTGGAAGCAAAAGGGGTATACGCACAGACGCATATGCGCGCACATCAATGCATACAAACATCCACACACGTCGAAGTGTCTCGCCAAGGGGTAACTCTAGTCTCGTGTCAACATAAAGCACGGGGCATGGCGCTCTCTCTCAAAGCCGGATGGCACTGGATTTCGATTTTAATTGTCAATTAGAATCGAGTTTAATATCCGCCCGGAGGGCGGGCCGTGTCGGCCAGGAACATCAATTAACCCAGGCCCTCCGGTAACCCCAATTTGAGGTCACCAGTTTGGTAACCCAGAATCAGAGTCACCGTATGACAACCCCACAGTTCCTGGAACTAGTTCCTAGCCTGTCCTCTTGACCTCGTGAAAAGCATGTTTTTAGGGTGTGCCTTTGTGCTTGTTGTGTTTTTGCTTGTTTTTCCTTCGATATGTATAGATGTAATTATAAGGTTTCAAGGTGGATTTCGTTGGTGTGGTATGCGTTTATCGGTTAGAATATATATATAGACAGCTATGATCTCACAGGGATGCGTACATGTACATTGAATCCGAGTACCGGCACCGGCCTTACAGCACCATTTCTCGAGAAGTGGACCATGACCCGGGTGTGCACGATCACTTTAAGGTCCCGGGATTCCTGAACCAGTCCTCCATACAATATTGCAAACGGCATTCGATTCTGCAGGCTTACTCCAGGGGGCGCAGTGTGTACATTGCAACTCGTGCGTAGAACGGCAATATGGCGACTTGTTGGCCATGTTGCGGGCCCGAGTGCGAGCTGAGCTTCAGAAGCGCTTGAGATCGGAAGGTGCGCCCTCTCCGCCCTGCTACTGCTCCTGTGTGTGTGTGTGTGTGTGTGCATGTTAGAGTTTGTCGTCTGGCTGTATATATAGGTAAGTTGTATCATGTCGCGAATGGTTCGCAGGATTTGCTGTTTAAAGGTGTAGATCTGGGCACTGCATTTTGCAGTGCATTGTCACGACATGGCTGCCAATGTGCCGGCAGCAGATCATGATGATATGAAAGATTTCGAGGACGAGCAGCCACTAGGCATTTCTACTGCGATGCTTTTTTTGTCCGTGTACATGTCTGTTCTAGATATATGTCCCAGGTTGCTATCCCTTCGAGAAATCCTCTCCACGTGGCTGACTAGCAAGCCCGCTGATACACGACATTCGTTGCTGTCAAGAATGCGAAAGAGTGAGGCCTGCACATTTTTTGTATACACCTCTCGGTCTCTCTCTGTCTCTCTTTCACTCTGTCTCGCTCTTTCTCTCTCCATACATGTGTCAGGACCATTCTTGCTTGAAGCTGGTGGAGTTTGTGTCCGAGACCGCAGTGCAGGAAGCACATGAGATTCTCAAAGAACTGTATGTGAACTTCGGCACCAAGCAGCCAGTGCTTAGCAAGTACCGGGCTACTTGCATGCAGTGTGCAGTTCTAGTACATTCAGACACATAGCATATAAACTCCCAAGTTTCTGAGGCTGCCTTTCAGTGGGTTCAGGACGAGTACAGTGTTTTGCCAGTGACTGCAAAGAAGAAGGAGATCCAGGCAGGCTCCGGCCGGCATTCACTTTCGATTTGGAATGTCAGACCTGTATACACTTGTAGAGTTGGCAATGATTGGCAGGGCTGGGTCGAGATACAAGCTGCTGCTTTGAGAAGCAGGGCCATGTACGGAATCCGACTCTGGAGGAAAACTCCAGACAGATCATTGTCTGCTGGCAACATTTAAACATGTGTGATGGTTTTGCTCGCGTGTCCATATATCGGTGTTTTCGCTATATATAATATAATAAGGTCCAAGGAGGTGCAGCTGCTGAAGGACATCCTTACGCTGTTGGCGACAGACGGCGACGGTGGCGAGGATGGGGGCTCCGATGCCTCATCAGATTCAGGTGCTGAGGACTCTGCAGGGGAGGAGTCGTCCGTTGCTGACGAACCCGCTGCAGAAGGGTCTGACATGGATACGTGTGACACGCAGGTTCCTATGCAGTCCAGTGCCGATGAGTCAAGTACGAAGAGTAAGGTTTTGCCGCCAGTGCCGAAATTCAGTGGCGGGGCGAAAGATCCAAGCTTCGTTGATTCCGAGCCCTCTGCAAGTGAGATTCCCTTGAAATCTCAGACCCCAGATTCCTCCTTGGCCCCCAGCCCTGATGAGATGCCTGCGAAATCCGAAGCCGCAGATTTGACCATTCGCCCCAGCACTGAGATTCCCCCATGAAATCCGAGGCCCCAGATTCATGGGCCCCAAGCCTGAGATTCCTGTGAAATCCCAGGCCCAGGCCCCAGCTGCAGTGCCACCTCATGTCCCAGATATGCAGTGCCCCGATTCCGCAAACGCAGAGTCTCCAAAGCCCATGTCCGGAATGCCGCTAGGCTGCTGAATCTATATAATTACCCCAGTAGTATAATCTCGATACCTGTACCATGTGTGTCGCAAGAATCCCAAGGAGAATCCCGTAAAGGAGGAGACGACCCGTGCTGCAGAGAAGGCTAGGCCATGCAATATATGGCTAGCTGCTATATATGTATACGTAATATTATGTCGCGTATACTCGATATACAGGCAGCGAGCGAGCCACTGATTCAAGAACGACCAGAGTGGAACGTGGACGCAAAGGTTGTCGAGTTGAAGGCTAAGGGGTATATCATCGACGCGAAGGGTGAGCAGGAGAGTTTGGACGAGTATGCCGGGTTGCCGGAGGTTCAGTCAAAGCTGTTACTTCCCCGCATATGTTGATGCACATGCACATCGATTGATACCAGTACCCCGAATCTTATTGTATATGCTATACTGCTGGCCACATTTAGCACCCTAAACCCTGAACCCCTAGGCCTAATTAATTGCTTTAAACCGTGGAAATCGGTTAGCCTTATGAATGCCCGGCCACGCAATATGTGCTTATAAATATATATCTGCTGAGGCGAGCTGCAGCGAAGGCCCAGGCCCAGCCCGTGGATGACAGCGGCAAGCGTGGTCGCGGGCGTGGTCGAGGTGGAAAGGGTAGAGGGAGAGGGCGTGGGCGGGGTGCGACTCCCACGAGGCTCAGCTCAAACATGTATTGTGTGCGATATATCGTGTATATATACTCGTACAACAGTCGTAAAGTGTTTTTATCAGGACAGCTGACAACCCGACTCCGTAGCCGGGCCCTGCTGAGAAGAAGGACGACGACGCTGCTGTCCCCAAGGGTAGAGGCAAGAAGAAGCGTGCGAGTGCCGACAATGAGATGGAGACAGCAGCCGCCAAGAAGCTTAAGAAGGGGAACGGCAAAAAGGGTGCGCGTGCCGAGGAGCAGGAAGCTCGCGAGGAGACGAGTGACGAGGAGCAGGAGGATCGCGAGGAGACAGCAGACACCAAGAAGCCTAAGAAGGGGAACGGCAAAAAGGGTGCGCGTGCCGAGGAGCAGGAAGCTCGCGAGGAGACGAGTGAGCAGGAGGATCGCGAGGAGATAGCAGACACCAAGAAGCCTAAGAAGGGGAAGGGTAAAGGAAAGGAGCAGCAGACGCCCTCCGAGGCGCCAGCCTCTTCCAGCACAGCTGCGAAACCGAAATCGAAAGCCAAGGCCAAGCCCAAAACGAAAGCATCGAAGCAGGAGCCAGCTGATGATCACGAGGAGTCGAAAGCAAAGAAGGAGGAGCCCGCCGGCGAGGATGAGGCCCCAAAAAAGAAAAGGATGAAGCGTGCGGATTTCGGCAACATGCGAATTCCGAATTTCAAAGACTACTTCGCGACTGGACATGATGCAAATTTCGTTCATGTATCCTGCTGTGTCTGCATGTGCAGTGGCAAATTTAAAGAAAGAAAGAAATAAATATATATATATATATATATAGCAGCTACCAGCTTGTCTTCTAAGGTGATGCCATACTGGAGCCGAAGCTGTGTTGGTCTGTGCCAGAAGCAGTTCGACGGTTCGAAGAAGCAGGTCCGAACTGGAAATATTGGGCCGGGTTGTGTGTTTACGTGTCCACATGTACATTCGTGTTTTCATTCCAAACTGCAGAGTGCGAGTGAGCGACTGACAAAGTGTATGATCGTAGTAGTATTAGTACTAGTACTGCTACTACTACTACTACTACTACGACTAGTACTACGACTACTGCTACTACTACTACTACTATACACTATGCGAACGGACTGCGATGCCTTGTCAAGTTCTAAGGTGTCACTATAAGAGCTGTGAGCAAGACCGTGTAAAGTGCAAGAGAAGGGGGCACGCTACGCGTCCCTCGACTCTAGGAGTAAGCTTGCGGACGTGCTACGCACACCGTATCGCTTCTCCTTACCTTTCTATGTGACCGCCCACGCAACGTTTGGCTCAAGTCAATGCCCATAGCTAAGTGCTATATGTGTCTTCTATCCTGAGCAATCAGAGCTATCCCGTGCACAGACGAACCGCCGCCGGCAGCGAGTGCAAAAGGAACGGCCGCCGGTTCTGCCTGCATAGGATTGCACGTGTGGAAGTGTGAGAGAGACAGGGTCCCAGTCTGTGGAGAGTGCAAGCCAGCCACACCTATATTCATTACAGCTCTGGTGGGGAGAGCAGCAACATAATCGAGATCAAATCCCCACGCAGGTTATCAGCCGTACGCGGCTCTGCCTTTCTGCAGCAACGACTACTTGATCTACTACGACCACAATGAACTCGGGATCAAGCCAAGATACGACAATGACTTTCGGTGCCGATGTGGCAGCGCCAGCCGTTGGTGAGTCAACAGCTGATGACACAGTGGTGCAATCCGTTGATAGCTCCACGGAAGATGACAAAGGTCAATCTTCTGCGCTTGCCATTGCAAAGGCAGTTCCCAAAGTGAAAGCAAAGAGTCTACCAAGAGCATCTACGCCTTCGCGTCCGACATCCACAGGTTCGAGGACGGGCAAGGCTCCAGAACGACGATCCGAAGCGTCTGGTTTTCAGGCACCTCGGACTACGTCCAGGGCCAAGGACAAGGGAGTGAGGACCTTGGAAAAGAAGTCGAGACCATCATCTTCGAGAAGCTCTTCAGCACGATCAAGGACTTCGGCTACTCGTGGGCGTGACAAGTCCATGACATGGAACCGGATGGTTACCAATCAACCACGCGATGCTGACGATCTGGATATGACTCTGGACACTATCCCTGCACGTGGTGATGCGTCATCGGTGACCACGCCAGCCATAGCCGATGGTCCGAATGCCTGTCAGGAACTGACGATTTCGCAACAGCTCGAAGCGTCGAACCTTGCGCAGCAGATGTACTATCGCAGTCAGATGCAAGAGTACGAAGGAGTTGTCCAGACCCTGATGGATAAGATCAAGGAGATGCAACAAGAAGATGAAGGATCTGGGATTCGCATCGAAGAATTGGAACGACAACGTGACCATGCATGCTTAGCCATGAGGCACATCAACAATGTCAATCAGGAGATGAAGCGAGACTATGAAGCAGCTTTGTTTCGCATGGATGAACAGAACTCTGCTCAACAACGTCAAGCACACGCCGTTGCCGAGGAGTTGGCTCAGCAGCTACATGTGTTTCGCACGGAAGCAGCCACTAACTTTGTGCAGTTGGAGGCAAGAGCGCAAGGCGATGGTGAGCTTATGGCACGTGAGTATGAGCATCTGACTCATGAACTTCATGAACAAGCCAGAGAGAACTTGTTCCTCCGGTCGAACACAGCAAGTTCGGAACAAGCCTTACAAGCAATGCAGGAACGATTCCACCTGGTCAGGAATCAGGAGTTGCGGGCCGTGAACGAGATCCAAGGGCTAGCTGGGAACAGCGCAGCCATTGATCAAGAACGACTTCGGCTTCGCGAACGTCTTGGCGAAGAGGAAGAGTACCGCAAAATGGCTGTGAGGAGGATGCAAGATGCAGAGGACCGACTTCATCAGAATGAAGATCATGCAAGGCGCGCACTGCCCACCTTGCACGACGAGCTGAGTGAACTCAGGAAAACACTCAAAGCACAGGAAGATCTTCAAGCGAGGACACGTAGCGAATTGGAGGCAGCACGGAACTCCAACTACCATGGCGGAGTGACACGGCCTTCGAGCATGCCCATGTCTTCGAGGACTACTGAGTCTGGCTGGGAGCACGTAGGAAAGGAAGTAGTGCCTGCATTTTCCGTAGGAGGTGAGGTACGATCCCCTGAAATACGGTCCCCAAGTCAAGTTAGTCCAGTCGCCAAAGAGAAGTTCGCATTCTCGGAATCGGACAAGGACAAGAACCTTGCGATGGATGGAATTCCATTTACCGGTGGAAACTTCTTCACTGGCCGCATCAAAGGTGAGGTGAATAAATCCTATTCAACGCCAATCGTGGCGGATGCAATGCCCGAGCACTACGTGCCAGGTATTAGCAGCCCAGCACATGCGCGTTCCACGCCTAGTGCAGCCACTCTGTTTGGCATACCAAGCGGATTTCATGGGCAAAGTGATGCGGCAGCCGTGCGTGATCGACAGCTACGAGAACTCTTGGAGGATCGCGGGATGTTGGGATCGAAGTCCACAGCATCTGCCAGCTCCTCAAGACCTGTTGGTATCGACGGCATTATCGCATCTACGAAGGGCAACGACCTCATTGGTCCCCCTGTCGCCTATGACGATTCCATCCATGAGGCAAGGAGGCGTCAGATCGAGAAAGAGGTCGCGGAACGGTATGAAGAGAAGATTGCTGATCTGCGAAGCGAAGTACTCAAGGCCCAGAAAGCCGAACAGCGTCTCAGAGCTGATCGTGATGAGTGGAGATTATTCGCTGAAACGATTCAGGAAGACAATGGAGACGATGACGGTGATGAAGCTGGCGACGAGAACGAAGAGGGAGAGCATGATGAAGGAGCCGGCACGGGGTATGATCCTCCAGATCCGCCTGATGATGACGATGATGATAAGAAGAGAAGCGGTGGAGGCAAACCTGAATCGGATCCTGACCCTCATGCGCGTGATCCTGATGGAGACGCAGATCCTGAAGTCACAGAGGTGAGAATTTCCAGGAGGGAGGCCGATAAAGTGACCGTCCCTCCATGGCCTACTCTCACTCACCTCAACAACTGGCGATCCGTATGCACGGCGAATGTCTTAGGAGCATCAGCCGATCCAAATCATGAGGACTGGATGTTATGGCTGGCACCAGCATTCAATCCATTCCCTGATGTCGAAGCACTGAACGATTCGGGACACAAGAAGTTCAAGAGCGTAGACGTCAAATTGGGGATCGCCATGGTCGCAATGCTAC